CTACTATTTTAGGCACAAATTCAAAACCTACAAAACTCTAAACAAAAAACTGATTGTTCAGAATATAGATCAATATCTTTTGAACATCTAGACAAAATTTCAGCTCAATCTAATGGTGAACTTTGCAAATCGGACAAAATGACAAAGCTGTGCATAGTACCAAAATTGCAAAAATTTCCCCTGTTTCTTTTCCCTTTTCTATCGATTGGCTCCACTCACATGCACTCCACTTTCTACCATATCATCCCAAAAACAAACTTGTTTTATGTGTCTAATGAGTTGCAAAATCATGGGCTAAAACAAGGATGATTTTGTGAGAAAATGAACTCTTTCTCAAGATACTTAAGACTCAAGATTTTGATTTGGTGCTTGAATGTACTGTATGGCTAAAACAATGAGAGGGAGAAAGGAAAGCAAAGAGAGAAAGAAAAGGCTAGGTGCGCTTAGGGAGTTATGATGGAAGTGCGTAATGGATTAAGTAATAAAAACTGTCAGTATATAACGAAATATGTAACCTTGGAGGATGTATGTATTATTTCCCTTGCATCTTTTCTTACATTATTTGGATACTTGGAATAAATGATTTCATGAGCGAGCATGCCAAGCCAAAAATTAAATTAAGGTAGATACGAATGGTAGAAAATTTTTATTTAATAATTCTTTATAAATTTTTTATTTTACAATTTAAAATATGTTAAATTGATATAAAAATTATTAAATGAGATATAATCTCTATTTAATAATTTAATTTATATAATTTAATATAACTTAAGTGGTATAATAATTTTTTACTCTTTATTAGGATTGTCATGTCATAATACAATTGCCACTTTTTTTTTTTTTTGATAAAAAGAAATACAGTGTTAAGTTAATATATATTCGAGAAAAATCAAGTCTGAGACACAATCTACAAACCGAAATACGTTTCCCTAGCTTTCCACTTTAGACAAGCGTGGCTGCCACTGTAGCCACATGGTGAATGCTAATACAATTGCCATTTTAATTGGATAAAGACGTGTTGTATCCCTGTGGCTGTAATCATCTTTTCTTTTTTTTTCTTTTTTTTTTT